CGAATTTATTTATTCATATTCGACTGAGTGTTTTGTCTCATCCAAACGAACAAACAAAATTTCATTTCAAACCGTAATGTTTTTCGTTGTTGGTTTTCGCAGTTGTTTGCATCACCCGGGTTTTTTTCGGGAAGAAAAATAACCGAAAAAAGAATTTCTTGTTACATAACCGGGGATAATCAACACTTTTTTTTGGAAAAATTCGAATGTTTTTCGTTTCTTTTGGAACAACAAAAACACGCCTATTTTAACTTTATCGACTTGGTTATGTTTATTTTGGGATGTTTGGATGTTTGTAATGATAAAAGCAATTAATCTTTTTTCTTGGTTTTTCTTGGATTTTTTGTTTTTGCATAATTTAAAGCCCATAGAAAAATTGCTAATTCGATTCAAGCGAAGAAGAACTTTCTTAAAGAAGAAACAAGAAAAAAAAATCAGCCGCATCTTCCCGCTTTTCCAAGAAAACAGTAAAAAAAAACTTGAAATTATCAAACAAATAAACAAAAACTCCGAAATCCGAATTGGACATAAAGAAGTTTTACTGTTTCTGTTTGACTGAATCGTTTCGTTTGAAAGATGAACTAGATTTCTTATAAGAAGATTCTTCCAAAGAAGAAAATTGAAGCAAAGATTTATTTCCCGAAAAAAACCGAACAACTTAAGATAACCAGAAACAGCAGCAGAAAAAAAGTCATTTGCATCAATCAAACCAAAAAAAAAAAGTAAATCAAAATGAATAAAAAACAAAAACTTTAACTTGCATTTTTTCTTTTAGTTTTTTCTTTGGTCTAGTTACTCGCCAATGTTTCAGAAATAAAAATTTTCTTCTTGTTGTTGTTGTTGTCCAAAATAGATAAAAAAAGATAACAACAACAACAAAAAAGTTAATTTTCGTTGTTTTTTGCTAGCATCCAAAACAGATAAAAAAAAGTTTAACAAAAACAACGAAACCAAACGAAATCAAAATCGAACGAATAAAAATCGCATTCGAATGTTTTACTCAAAACACAAACAAACATTCGATTTTGTGTGTGATTTGCAGTAATATTCTCTGCAAGAATATTCTCTCGGATTTTTTTCCTTGAAAACAGATCGACATTATGAATCTGACAACAATCCAAACGAGAGAAAAAAAGAGATTTCCATATAAAAAAGTGTATGCGATATTCTGTGCATAAAAAAAAATTCTTAGATATTCTTCAATTGCTTGGAAAAATGATGGTGGCGGTGGTGGTGGTGGCCACAGAATATCACCAATGATCACCATCCATTCATTCATTCATTCATTCATGGCCTTTTTGTTTGAATAAAAGAAGAATATTCTGTCATAGAAAAATATACGAATAACAACAACAACAACAAGGAGAACAAAATTCATTCATAACAGCCATATTCATCATCATTTTGTTTTTTGTACAAACAGTTTCGTTTCATTCATTTCTTTATCCCCAAAGAATGGCAAAAAAACTTGAAAATGTAAATCATTTTTTTTTGTGAAAAATGTTTACATTTATAGATGTATCTGTGTGTGTATATTTGGAGAGAACATCACTACATTCAAATTTCTCAATTTTTGAATAATTTTTAATCTTTGCTCTTTTTTGGATGTTTTAGAATCATTTCAGAGTTGCATACCCCGGTGGAACGCGAATGTGTTCATCAAGCAAAGAAAAATTTAATGATTTATTTAGCTTCTTCTTGTTCGTTTTTGGAACAACTTTTGAAAACATTTTTTCATTTTCATTTTTTCGAGAAAAACCAACTTCAATCCGTAAGTAAGTGATGATGATGATTAAATTAATATTATTATTGAATGATTAATTGGATTTCAATGTTTTGCCAGTTTGGTTTGGTTTTCCGTGGATGTGGTTTGTTTTCAATCACTCGATCAATGTCATTCATTGATTAAAAGGTTTGTTTGTTTGTTTTTTTGGAAATAGTCATTCGGAAACGAATGACTATTTCCAAAAAAACTTTTTTTTCTTCAAATTAAATTTTTTTCCCGGAAACTTTTCAAAACATTCGAATCGAGCATCAAAAAAAAAACATTTTTTTTTCGTTGGAATCATAATTGGACAATTTCAGTTTAATTCAAAGAAAAACTATTTTCAAAGTAAGGAGAAGAATTTAAAAAAATAAAAAACCAATAAGAAGAAGAACAATTATAATAAGGAGAGAATTGGATAAACATCACAATAATAAAATTTGAAAAAAAATAATTATAATAGATAATATAAAATAATAATAATAATAATAATAAAATTGGAAAAAAAATTGATTTTTAAAAAATAAAAATTCGCGCCTAAATTGTTGTTGTTGTTGTGAGGATTTTGTTGTGAGGATGTTATCTTGTTGTGAGGATTTTGTTGTTGTTGTTTTGGATGAAAAAATAGAAAAAAAAAATGAAAATTTCGTAGAATTCGGATGGATGGATGGATGGATGGATGGACGGGTAGTGTCAACAAATGTAATGAATATATATGGTTTCTTTCTTCCTGGGTATTTCGCTGTGTGTGTGTGTTCAGGGTTTAACAACAAAAAGAAAAAGAAAAACATTGAAAAAGAATGTCATGCCTATCAAGGATTATTGGATCATACAATTGATTAATAATGATAATAATTATGATAATTTGAAAAACAATTTGTTAAATTCCTAAAAGTTGGGGGAAAAAAGGGAGATTGTTGGATGAAAATTTGTTTTTTTTCCTATTTTGATTTGATGAAAAGCTCTTCAATTGAGAAACAAAACCGAAAACAGAAAACCGATAAAAACACATATACGATATACGATTTGATAATTGTTTTTGTCTCCAAAAAGCTCATGATGATGATGATGATAATGAAGATTTGAGAATATTAATAATGAGAATAAAAGATGATTTGTTTCAATATATTTTTTCTATTTATATCAAAAACAACGACGATTAAGATTCATCATCACCATTATCATTGTTGTTGTTGTTGTTGTTGTTGTTGGTTGTTTTGGCTTTGTATCATAATGATTATTACATCATATTCATTATTATCAACTAAGTGGGCGATTTACAAAAGAAAGAAAGAAAGAAAATTAAAATCCAATGAAGAATTTCAATGTAACTAACCTTTGTTTAATAAACAACGATATATAGATTCATTTTTCATATTTTGTAAAACATCATTTGTTAATTTTATACGAATACTATTCGGTCCTGTCATATGAATATTTCTTAATCGAGTTAATATCATTGAATCAATTGAATGTTGTTGTTGATGATGTTCCGATGATTGTTGTTGTTGTTGTTGTTGAGCATGTTGTTGTTCCGTATTAAAATTTCCAAATATATTATTATTATACATACATTCGATAAGTTTTTCACGAAATTCTTCCATTGTTAAATGTTTAAAATATAATGCATAATGTTCTTTCAATTGTAATTATCATTTGAAATATGAAAAATTGAAAAAAAGACCATTAATAGTTTTACAAATCTAAAAACATTTTACAATTTTTAAAATTTACATACCATTACCATCAAACGTAATGAATATGGTTAATTTTGTAGCCGAAATTTCGGGCATATGTATTAAATTATATAAACGAATACCATCTTTAAAATCGCATAATTGTATGAGATCATCACGTGATAAACGACGTAGATCTTCAGCAGTATAATCACAAAGTTGTTCGGCTAAACGAAAAAATCGATTTCTTTTCAACCATTCATATGTTTCAATAGCACCGGAATCTAATGCTAAACCATTCGATAATGTTGGCGCTAATGATGATGATGAACCAAAATTTTTCATCATCGATGTTATTGATGGTGAAATTGAACGTATAGATAATGATAAACTTGATGTACGAACAATACCCGGTTCATCAAATTTATCAACAAATTTATTGTTCTATACAAAAACAATCGATTCATTATAATCCACCTGTATGTATACCTTTTTGCTTAAAAAAAACTTACATTCGATGATTGTGATTGTGGATTTTGACCGGCCATCATTGGTGATGAGATCGTTAATGTTGCCGTTGACATTGAAAATTCACCCGGACCACCTTGTTGACAGCTAGCAACCATTGCTAATGATGGTGTTGAAGTCAAATGTGGATTTAATTGATCATTTGATTTTGATGATGGCATCAATTGATGATGATGATGTGGATGTGGATGATGAGAAAGATGAGAATGGCCATAGGTATCAAGTTTTGAAGGCGATGATGATAAATGATGAGGTGGTGATGATGATGTTTGATGCAGATTACTACCGGATATGGATGAAAATTGTGACATTGATGATGAATGATGATCTAAAATTAATGATGATGATGATGATTGATTATGATTATTATGTAAAGAAGAATGATGATGTTGTTGAACTAAATTATGTGGACTAATAGGTGTATTTGGCATTGTTGCCGATGTAACCATACTTAATTCTGAACATGTTGGTGATTCAGTCATTGAACGATTTGTTAATGTTGATATTGATTCTTGTTGATCAAATTCTTGTTGTTGTTGATGATGATGGGATAAATCTGAATGTTGTTGTTGTTGCTGTTGTTGAATTGTAGCAATCATTTCTTCTTCTTTAAATATTGTTAATAATGTACAATCATATGATGGTTGATAATAATTTTCTGAATCCGGATGTTTTGAAACACGATCACGATCAGTTTTATGTTTACGTTCGGCTCCTTTGGATTTAAAAACTTTTATCAAACAACAAGCTGAATCAATTTTATTTCCATCCAATGAATATGTATCAACAATAAGTCGAAATGGTGTACCACGTTCACCACCATGTCGTTTCGATGTAAATTCCGTACTAATACAATTGATTTTAATGAAAATCGATGCTTCACGACCAGGATTCCAAACAAATGTCATTGAATGATTAAATTGTGACCGTAGATCAACATCAAAAACACCATATGACATTGAAAAATCAATATCAATCATACGGCCATTATTATGTGATTGTACCCAACCATTTAATTCTTCATTTTCACGATATTGTAAACGTTTTTCAACAAATCCTAAACGAACCGATGTTTTAAGATTAGGTTCAATGGATACTTTTTTCAATTTTTTCAAACGAATTTCATATGATTGTCCTTGATTCAAATAGGTCATTGTCATCAAACCGATACGTGTTCCGGCCGATGTTGGTGCACCCAAAATATATTGAAATTTTCGATCATCTTCATCATCAATTTGTGGCATTGTATGTGGAACCTGTACAGTACCGGCAGCCTGATTTTTAACACTTGGTGCATCAGTTTTTGACCAACGACGCCATGCATAACCATAACAATTGGCAACACTATTTCTTGAACTATAAATATTTTCCGTATCCGGACGATAAGCAAATGGACTATTTGAAAAAAAAGAAAGATTACAAACAAATCAATCAGATAAAATAGAATAAAAAAAACAATACTTTTGTTCCAAAGGATCACCACCACCACTATGATCAGCTGATAATGATTGGCTTTGATTTTGTTGATCAATCAATTGATTATTATCATTTGTTTGACCATCATCACGTTCCTGTTGTTGTTGCTGGTCATTATTAACTAATGAACCTTTAAATCTTATTCTTTTAACAAGTTTTTCATCATCAACCATAATTCCTGTATTAATATTTGATTCATTTGTTGATTTATTTACATTTGAAATATTTGAGCTAATACCACCAAGGCTTGTCATTAGTATTGTATTCGATTGTAATGCTAATGATTTTGTATTCTGTACAATTGTTGATGAATCAGGCATATTCGGTAATGATTGACATGATGAATCATCATTGTTGTTGTTTTCACCAAAATATCTACAAAAACAAAAAAATTCAAAAATTTAGATTTAAAAATTATCTATGTAAAAACCTTCAAAAAACATACATTTTATTTTGATCAAATGTTGAACGAATCTGTTGTGAATGTGATGATGAACGATGTTGATCCGTTGTTGTTGATGTTGTGGCTAAATTTTGTAATGATGGTAATGATGAATTATTATTATTATTATTATTATGATAATGAGCTGAAGTAGTTGGTGTTGCTGATGTTGTTGTTGTTGATGATGATGATGTTGATGATGGAACAATAATCGTTGATGAATTTGTTGTTGTTTGAATATTTGTTTCATTCGTCGAATTCGAAATCGCTGCCGCCGCTGATGATGGTGATGATGATGCTGATGGTGATGATGAATGTATTGATGATAAATCTAAATGATTCATTAACATGGCTGGTGATGATGGTATTGATGATTGTTGAGAATTTCCAGATGATTTTGTTGAAGAATTTCTAACCAAAATCAAATTTAAATGATTAGATTTTTGTTGTTGTTGTTGTGATTGTGATTGTTGTTGTTGTTGTTGACGATTAACAACAGATGATGATGATGAATTTAAAGATGACGACGACGACGACGAAGAAGAAGAAGATGAAGAAGATGATGATGATGATAATGAAGAATTAGGTGAAGAATCGTTAGCTAAATCCAAAATATTATTCTGTATTGGAAATCTTTGAGATAGAATATGATTTGAATGTTGTTGTTGTTGCTGATGTTGTTGTTGATGATGATGATGTTGATCCGGAAAAGAATTTATTAAAGAATTATGCAATAAAGTATGTTGCTGCTGCTGCTGCTGTTGTTGTTGATGGTGATGATGATGATGATGATGATTATGTAAATAATCGTCTTCAATTTTAATCATATCGATTACATCATCACAACCTGTTGTTGTTGTTGTTGTTGTAAGAAGCGGTCCAATATTATTATTATTATTATTATTAGTTCCAATAGTCGAAAAGAATTGATTAATAAATGGTAAATTTGTTTGTAAATTATTTAAATTGTTATTATGATCTTGTTGTTGTTGTTGTTGTAAATGAATTTGTAATTGTTGCAAATCTATTTGTTGTTGTTGTTGTTGAATTTGATCATGTTGCTGTTGATGATGATGATGATGATGAGATTGTTGTTGTTGTTGTTGTTGAGATACCGTAGAATTCGAGGTTTGTAGTTGCTGTTGTTGTTGAGCTGCTGTTATCATTAATGATGATGTTGATGATGATGCTGATGATGATGTTGTTGTTGTTGTTGATGATGTTAATTTTGTTGCCATCATTATGTTGTTATTTTCAATGTTTGAAATGAAATTCCGTACATCATCCTCATCATCATCATCATCATTTTGATTATTATCCAGACAAAGACTTGATAGGGAAACATTAAAATCATCATTTTCACTATTGTTATTATTAGCTGCCCTTGTTGTTGTTGTTGTTAATTTATTTGATCGGAATGTTTGATGATTGTTATTATGATTATGATTATCAACGTTATTATGATTATCAATAAATCGAATTAATGAATAATTTTCATCTAATATACGATTATGATGATTAAATGATGGTTGTTGTTGTTGTTGTTGCTGTTGTAATAATGTCGTTAATGATGATGATGATGATGATGATAATGGTGAGATCAATCGTTGTTGTAATTGATGATGATTATTATCAACGATTTTTAAATTATTATTATTATCATTTGGAACAAATAATAATAATTCTTGATTATTTTGATGATGATTATTAAAACATGATATAGTTTCAATATTGGAATATGTTTTCGTTGTTGTTGAATCCGATCTTGAATTGGACATTTGAAAAAAATCTTTCTTTCAAGCTTTTTCATTTAATATTTTTGCAATGATCGGTGTGGTCGATGTTTTTTTTGGCCATTCGATATTTATATATTCGAAATGTTTACATTTTTATCATTGTTTTTTTCGGATTCAAATCATTATTTGTTTGTTTGATGATCCATGTTGATGTTATTTTTCTGACCAAAACAACAACAAAAACAAAAACAAATCCTATTGATTTAAAGAGAAAAAATACTGTTAGTAAATAAAAAGATAAACAACCAATATTTTAAAAAACAAATAAATAACAAGAAAAGAAAAAAACAAAAAAATGACCAATTGGATATCATCAAAAATAGGATGCTATTGATTTTTTTAATTTTGTTGTTTATGATGATGATGATGATGATTACGATGACGATGGCAATGGTCCCTCTCTCAAACAAACAACAACAACAACATTAGAAACATCACATCATCATCTACATTTCATTCAACAAGTGTAAAATATTTGGGGGGAAAGGAAAGGAAAAAGATCAAACATCACATACACAGAAGGAGACATGGACACATGAATAACCGGTTCTTACTGGCTCTCAATTCATTCATTCATTCATTCATTTAAAGATTGAAAAAGTAAAGAAGAAAAAATACTTTGTAAAAAACAAGAAGAAAAAAATTTTTAAAATGTCGTAAAAAAAAGAAGAAATTGCGAACACTTTTTGTTGAAAAAATGTAGCTTTTTACGAAGAATTTCTGTAGAAATTTCCACTTTGTAAAACAAAAAAAAATTACAAAGTATTCTTTCTTTCTGGTAACCAACTTTTTCTGTGATTAATAATTAGCGATTGATAATCTGAAATGATTTTAAAAAGAAAAAAATTTCTTTAATTGAAAAATCAAACGAATGAGTTACATGAGTGAGTTTTTTTGAGTTTTTTGATTATCACCGATCATACTTTTTTTTGTTTCTCTGATGATGATAACGGTGAAATCTTTGGTTGTTTGGTTATCATCATCATTTTTTTTAACACATCCCACTTATTTTTAGGTCTTTTCACTCGTTCAATATGTAATTATCTTGTGATTTTTTTATTAAATTAATACTTTACTAGCTTGATTGGTGGTGATTTCAATGGAGAAAAAAGAGATAAAATTGATGCTCATCTTATCATCATTATCATTAAATAATGTTGTTATTATTTCCTGATTTCTCTCAATCCGAATATATTTCTTTCTTTCTTTTTAAAAAATCAACAAACAACTTACCCCTTTTGTTTATTCTAATCAAATTTGACAATTTCGTTGTTGCTCTATAATCATGATGGTGGTGGATGAGATGAATTTTTAAGATTTTTGATTGAGATCACAATGTTGTTGGTGTTTTGGCTTTTTGAAAAAGAATTATCACATTTTTTTTTTTGTTTAAAATAATCAAATTCGAATCAGAAATTTGCAAATGAAATTTTGAGTTTTTGCTCGATTTTTTTAAAATCAAACGAAAACAGAAAAATGAAACGAAATTCTTGATTCTTGTTGTTGTTGTTGTTGTTGTTGAAAACATTCGATTTTGAGCTGCCAGAATTGTTGATGAAAAGAGAGAAAAAAAAATGAAAACATTTGTAGCTCTTTTTTGGCTGTCGGTCGGTCGATCAATTCAACGGTAAAATATTTATGGACATTTTCATCAATAAATTACATTGTTTGGATACGAATAAAATTTTCTTCTTCAGCAAAAAAAAAATATTATCATCAAAAACGGCAACAACCACCATTTTTTTTTGTGGTTGCAAGAAACGCGCACATCATTATCATTCATTCGAACGAACGAAGCAGATGCGTAAAAATTATTGATGCGTTTTACCGGTTACGGTCACAATGTGATTAGATGAATGAATTGGAAGAATCTTTAGATCCGCATTACGTAACATTGGATCATTAGCATCGGCAAAGAAAAAACGTAAAGGAAATATACTAAACGTTTTGTTTGAAATAGAATAACTATTGTGACTGTTATCATTGTTTGTCGTAAGAATCGCAAGAAATTTCAGTAGTAGTGGTATTATAATCGGTGATCGATGAACATGAACGGTGGTTATCGAATAGAAGTGGTTGAATTTTATGTTTAAATGAATATTTTGCCACCACTACCACTGGACCACAACCACCACTACTATAGTACCCACTATGGTGTAAATAGCCATTTCGAATGTTTGTCCATTTTTTTTGCATCCGTAATTTAATTTTTTGTTTTCGGTTTTTCCTTGATATAATTTAATGAGGTTTTTTTCTACCTTGCGACTTCTAAAAAAAGCTTAAATTCAACATTTTATTATCCGCTGAAATGTGAATCAAGAAGAAACAACAGAAATGACATATTGAGGAAGTCAAACGAAACCAAGAGAAACGAAGAATCATCAATTCGTAATGTATAATAATGTAATAAGAAATTTGTTTTTTTTTGAAAAGCAAAGCTCAACATAAAAAGATTAAATTTTTACAGAAAAAAAAAATTCGAAATTGTTACCCCAACTTTATATTTTGGAATGCATTATTAATGCTCGAATCTTTGAAAAGAAAAAACAACGAAGAAAATCAGCCAGACCAAAGTCGAACCAAAGAAAAAAACCAGATGAAAATGTCAAAACAAGAACAAAATTCAAATGATCCAATTATACGTACCTGTTCGACAACATTAACAACAATACGTTTATCAACACCAAAATCATCATCATCAACATTATCATCACGATCATCATTACCACCAAATTTAAAATATCGTAAACAAATAAGAAATGAATCACCATCATCACCATCGATGAAAAAAATCAAACCAAATTATAATACAATACGTTTACGTATAATACATAATGAAAGTATTTGGATTTGTCGTTGGATAACAACTGGTTTAATATTGATCAATAGTTTATGGCTTATTTATATTGTTTTTATTTGTATTCGTGATCATTCGGAAAATATTATTACACAAACAATGATTATTATCAGTCTATTGTATGGATTATTTTCATTTATGATTTCAATGATTTTATGGCGACGATTATGGTCAACAAATCATTATACAAGTTTTGCATTATTCAATATTTCATTCATACTGTTTATCATTATTGAATTATTACAAATAAGTTATTGGTTTATCGTACGATTTACACCGACAAATATCTATCATAATTGGGAAACATTATCATTTTATAGTTCGGGATTTTTTCGACTGATTTCATATCTGGAATTAATAATGTTTATGAATTCAACAAAATTATCATCATTTTAACAATCAAAAATTCAAAAATTTTATTCAAAAATTAAAAAATTTTGTTCAAAAAAAATTCATCACCAGATGGCGCTTTCACCAGTTTTTTTTAAACAATCGAAATTTTCCCATCAATAAGATAAGTGCGAAAAACCTTGAACCAAATTTTGATGATCAACAAAACATTATCAGCCAAATCTATTTTCGATGATGATTACCAATCATAAGACGATATAACCAACAACCAATTATACCACCTAAATGACAAGCTACGAATGGTATCCAAAAATAATTATAATGTTTATCTGAGAATGGTGTCGATTTCCAACCAGTCATTGTTGTCATTAATCTTGGCATTAAATCACGTGCTGGATTCATTGGACCACCACAATTATAACCGAATGATGCTATCATTGAACCAAAATTAACGAAACCGATTGTAATTGGTAATAAACCTTTTGATGGACGTAATGGATTATCGTCATCGGTCAGCGAACAGATAATCATTACGAAAAACATTGTCGATATTAATTGATCTAAAAATGCTGAACCGGCATTAATTTCTGGTAATGATTTGGTTCCAAAAATTGGCCATGTTATTTCACCGGGTAATTGATCAATAGTTTGATTATAAACAGCATATGTTAATAATGAACCAACAAATGCACCAAGATATTGTCCCAAAAAATAATGTAATAATTTTTTCCATTCAAATTTTTTAATTGATGCTAATCCTAATGATACGGCTGGATTACAATGACCACCCGAAACACCACCACAAATATAAATAGCAACAGTCAGTGCTAAACCCCATGATAATGGTCCTGTTATTAATGAAAAACGATTGTAACCCGAAACAACCATTATAGCATTAGCTGAACATCCTAAACACTGGTCGTTTTGGTGGAGAAGAAAAAAAATCTTCATTGAATATTCTTTCGATATGTTTTGGCTTACCACAAATGTAAGTGTACCAAGAAATTCGGCTAAAAATTCACGTAGAATATCCGATTCAGTACGTAATGATAATGCTCGATCCCAAAATTTACTCATTTCGTTCGTTTTTTTTCAGTCAAACCAAAACGAAATCAAAATCAATCAATCGATCTTTGCTGGTTTGTCAATCGATCAACAAACAATTTAAGAATGAAAAAAATGAAAAATATTTTACAAAAAAAACAAGATTTTTTGGATGTTATTATTGACGGATGATGTACTTATTGCAAATTAAGAAAATTTACAACAACAACAAAAAAAAAATGATTTTTTCTTTTTGTAAAGATCACTTACAAACACACACTTATCAGGTTTTTTACCTGAAAAAATTGTAAAAAAAAATTAATCCACCAAAAAAACAAAAACTTTCTATTAATAACACGCACACACGCTACAAGGACACCAATAAGATGATAATAATTGACAATAATGAAGATGGTAATAAAACAAAAATTCTACCAGGAAAAAAATTACATCGAATATTATCATTTAACAATACAATAATCATTAACAATTTGCCGGTCGGTCGGCTGACTATCCTTTAAATTTTTTTTTTTTGGTTTCTGGTTTTTAAAGGTGTGTTTAACCCAACCTGAAAGAAAGGATTTAATTGCTCATTGGATTTTGGCAATGATTTTGGCAAAAATTGGAGAAATTCTTTGATTTTTCTCATTTACTCCCCCCACCATCATTCCCCACCATCATTTTTTTATTGCAAGTTTTTTTTTTGCTTTCCAAATTTGATGACAAAAAAAATGTGCAATTTTTTTTTTATATATAACCCGCTCTTGATATTTGATCATTATCTCCCCCCTGCCTGTTATTATATTAAACCCTCTGCTCTTCAAATGTGCATTGTTTTTGTAAATGTTGGAAATACTCCAGAAGTGAAAAAAAGGTTCCGATTTTTTTTTTGATAAAATTTATTTTTTCTCAATTACAACAACAACAACAAATCAATCCAAAAAAAAAAAATTGTTATCGATCGGATCGATTGATCAAGTTTTGTTGTTACCCCTGAAATCGATCAATTTTTTTTATCTAACCAATAATAAATTTCATTTGATTTTTTTTCGATTCAATCAATATTGTTAATAATTCAATTTCTTCATTGATTTGTTGTTGTTTTTGTTGTTTGAGTAGTTGGCGACTATTTTTATCTTTATCACTACTATTTCCACTATTTCCACTTTTATCATCATCATCATCCTTATTACTATTCGACAGAATACGGATACGGAATTCCAAAAGTGCAAATAATCGTTTATAAAAATTTTTGCATAAATTCTTTAATAATTCTTTTTCCGGAATATCGTCCGTCGTCGATGGCGAAGAATCTTCTGCTTGGTGATATTGTCGTAGCAAATTACTCAAATAATTTGTCCAAAACGACGTTGAACGTATTTCATCATCAAATGTTGGTGTTGATGATTCTAAATAATCATTATTATTATCCTTATTATCATCATTTTCTTGATTATCATAATCATCATCTGAATGATGATGATGATGGTAACGATGATGTTTATTATTATCTGAATTTTGTAATAAATATTTTGTTATACCATTCAAATTTTTTTCTTGTTTAAATGTTTCATCATCTAATGAATCGATTTTCGGTAATTCTAAATCATATTCCGGTAGAATATTATCAATAATTTGACCATATTTTATTAAAAACTGATGATCCACATCTGTTAATATAGTTGATGATGAATTTTCAACAAAAATTTCACAACATTTTTGCAAATCATCCATTAATATTCGATTTTTTCGATACATCAGATCCGTTAATTCATTCATACATGATTTTAATATCATTAGATATTTTTCATGTAAATTTTCTTTTAAACAACCAAACATATTGGTTATTAAATGTATTTGATTACGTAAAAATTTTAAACGATTTAATGTTTGTCGGGTATTCGTGTATGGCTGATAGCATAGTAAACATATTGCATCATTATCTGGATTATCTGGACCTTGATTATCTTGAATTTGATCATTTTGATCTTTAGGATTATAAACAATTCGTGATAAAAGTACAGGGCCAATTGTACAATGTTTACATTGTAATGCAGGGGTTAATTTTGAATCTTCCATACATTGTATACAATTACATTGAAAAAAATAACATGAATGTTGTCGTAAACGTTGTTCAAATGTTGATAATGGCCAACCACAACCATAATTGATGCTTATTTCTTCATATGCTGCAATCGGGCTATTTTTTTCGTTAGAGGAAAACAAAGGGTTAATATCACGCAATCAATCACGAAAAAAAAAAATTAACACCATACTTACCGACATACATTCAAATAATAATAGCCATCAATAAATTTCCATTCAGCATTATTATCACAACGATGATTAAATAATGATGCAATTAGACAAACACATGTACCAACATTTGACCATTGAAATGAATTCATCGATATACGACGTATACCAATGAAACAAACATTTAATAAATGTAACATTTTTCGACGGGATAATGGTTTTTCGGTATAACCTTGTACAATCATTGCCGAAATGGTTATATTTAATGCATTTGTAAAATGATATGATAAAAATTCTAAACCATGTTTATCATTATTATCAACTAGTTTGGAAAATATTTGAAACAAATTCATTTGTTGTTCATCATTAACATCGTTTTGTTTTGATTTTACATCATTTTCCGTTGATTTTTGATCGTTTATATAGTCTTCGATTATCGATATAGATGATGATTCTTGTCGTTGTTCTGGTTGTCGTTCTCCTTGTTGTTGTTGTTGTTGTTCTGCTTGTTGTTGTTGTTGTTGATCTTTTTGTTGTTGTTCTTCTTGTTGATCAAACGATGTCAATTTCAAAACATTATCAATACCTAAACGATTCAATAATTTAAACATATGATATGTTGATTTTGAACAATCAATCCAATATTGATTCATACGACATTCAAAACGATGATAACAATCATATGATTGTTCCAAACAATTTATTGAACAATAAATTATTTCATTACAATTTATACAGGGGAAAAATATATTCGTTACTTGACGATAACAATTTTGACAACGTTTCAACGATGATTCCGTAAACATTGCTATTGTATATGGTCGTTCACGTAATATTAATTCATCTTTATCAATTGATTCGTTAGCGATAAAAAATCGACCTTGCCCGGAACGATTTATCAACAATAACCGTTGATCCAGATATGATGTTTGTTGTTGTTTTGGTTGATGATTTTTTTCTTTCCGGCTATTTTGATCCATGTGGTCATCATTCGAATCATTTGAATCATTCGAATCGATAAACATTCGACTCAAATATTCTGGTTTACAAATCGGTGACCTATTATCATATTTTGTTTGTAAAAATTTTCTAAATTCATCATCACTTTTTATCTCGTAATTTTCTATTAAAATTTTTAATAATTTTTCTGAACGTTTTTCATTTCCCAATTTCATTAATAGGTAAATTTTTGTCAATAAATATTGTTTGGATAGATAAAAACGTAATGCATAATCAATATTGATTAATGCTTGTCTGATGGATTCTTTTTCGAATGATTTTATTTCATTCGAATCATCTGATGAATCGGATGAATCATCGACACCACAAATAGCCAATTGTTTTGACCGAACGAAAAATAAACGTGCCATTAATTTATTATCATCAAAATGACATGACCGTATGGATTCATTAACTAAATCAAGAATTTTGTCCGTTATTGTATAACTTCGGCGATTACCATTATCTTTACCATTATTATCTTCATCATTATCATCATTATCATCTTCTAATTGTAATTTTAAATCTAAATCATAATCTTCCATCAAACGATTGTTAATTTTATTCATTCGATATTGTTTAGTACGATAATAACGTATTTCGAATAAATTTGCCCATGATAATCTGGAATTTTTCGCCTGTAAACTTTTGGAATTGAAAAATTTTTGCTGAATATTCGATCGGATTTTTTCCCATAAATTACCATATGCTGTTACGTTTGCTTCAACAAATTCAAATAACCATTCAATTTCTTGAAATTTTGTTCGATCAATTATTGTATCGGATTTTTCAATCAAATCATTCAATTTTGTTTGTATTCGATGATAAAGTTTTGAATTCATTTTTCGTATTTCAACACCACAAAAACTCTTCTTTCTTCAACAAAACTCTTCTTTGAAACTTTCAACAGCACAAAATCCAAATCACGATAAACACAGAAACAATCGAACACACGAACAAAATTTTCTGAACAAATTCCATGATTGATTCGATGGAATTTATAACCAGAAAAAAGTTCGGTTTTTTCAATTTTTTTTCAAAAAAAAAATCCAAAAATAAAATTGAGTTATCCTAGATGGCGCCATATTTTCGAAAACAAACCCGAAAAACATTATTGTCAACGTTACAAGTGTCGTCAGCTGTTGTTGTTTGGTTGAGCTAAATTCTCATTCTCTTTGTCGATCATCGTCTGTTTCAAAAATTTCAAAAAAAACGCCGAAAAAAATTGCCAGAATATTCTGTCATCAGTGAAAAAAATGTGGTCAAATTTTAACGATAGTTTTACAGCAATAACCGATCATATTTCAACACAAATTCGTCAAACAATACCAACAATACAATCATCATTTGGTAAGAAAAATTCTTGTTTCTTTTCTTTCTTTGAATTTAATTTTTGTTTTTGTTTTTTTTTTCACTTGAAAAAAACCAAGGCGAACAACATGAAGATGATGAAAATGTTAAACAACAACGGGAATTTGAAACCAAAATTGAATTATTACGTAATGAGGTTTGTTTATTTCGTGTTCTCGAATCTTTGCTGAAATCAATCTTAATTCTGGTATTTTTTTTGTTTCGCTTGGTTTTGGTTTTGGTTTTCGGTTCCCACAGGTAATACGACATCGAAACATTGCACAAACATATAAAGAACGTTGGCTTGAAGCCGAAAATGTTTGTAAACAAACAACCGGTAATTGTTCAAAGGTTAGTTGAATTTTTTTATTTTAATTTGCCAACGAAAATCAATCAATCATGGTGATTGCCATTGCCATTGCCATCAAAAATTCCATAATAACATCGATACATCGGTGTTTTCCCTAGGAAAAAAACTCAGAGAAGGTTTTATTCAAATTGAATAATTCATAAAAGTTTTAAATCAAAAAAAAAAATTCTTACTGGGTGGCTGTTATTAATTTTCCGGCCAATTTCCGTTTGTCATTATTTCAATTTATGGTTTTTCGAAATCTTTTTTTCGCCAGGAAAAAACCCCCAAAAAGAGTTCACATTTGATGATGATGTTTTTCAAATTCACTTTCTTCGTCAATGTCAAAACATTCGAATCGAAAGACCACACACACCTTGGGTTTGAGTCTCAACTATTTTGACTTTCGAGGTCAAAAATTTTTATTTCCGTTCTTTCTTTGCTCAAATGAAAATAGTGTTTTTTTCGTGTTTGTTTACTTCCCCCTTTTTAGTCAATCGAAATTTGAATTTTTTCTGATTTTTGATTTTTTTGAAAAATATGATAACAGGTGGTGGTTACCCAGGTAGGTTATTGTAGGAATTCAGCGTTTTTGTTTTTTTGTTCAAATCATTTTTTTCAATCGAAAAAATGAATTTTTTCAACCAAAAAAAAAAAAAAAACGAAAAAACAAACATTCGATTCGTTTCAATACGGATGTTTGTTTTTTGGTTGATCGTAATCATCATCATCATCATCATCATTCGATAATGATGAAATTGAGTGGAAACAAACAAACAAGAAAAAAAAAATCATTTTCATTTCAAAACAAATGTCATAATCATAATGATGATTATGATCACTATATTTTCTATAATCAACATTTGAACATTGTTTTTTCAGCCATAAAAATGGCAATAATAATGATAATGATCGATTATGGGGGGTTGGAGGGGGAGATTTATGGATTATAATAACCAATATTCATTAAATTTTGACATTAGTTGTTGTTGTTTTTAATGATGATGATCATCATTATGATTATTATGATGATGATTCAATCAAAAAAATTTTCGGATATGCATCATTTCGATACAATCGATATTTTCGTTTCGTTTGTTTTGATTTCCACTTTTGTTGTTGTTGTTGTTGTTGTTTCGCTTCATTGTAAAGTTCATATGATCATCATTACGATTGGAATTTTTTTCCAGTAATTTTTCTCTCGATGAACTTTGACATTTTTCTCAATCATTTTCGGTTTGTATGTTTTTTTTTCTAGGAATCATTCTTCATTTTTTGCCCATTTTATAACATTGATTTCTTTCCCATTTTTGCTCAAATTTTACTTTGCCAATGATGACTTTGGACTTTTTTTTCATTTTTCTCCCCCCCAATAAGCAATTCTATTAGAAAGGAAGGGTTAATGAAATGAGAAAGAAAAACTTTCATAACGAAATAACCCTTAATGACGATGATGATGAATATTTTCTTTGGGGTAATAAACATCAACAAACAAACATCATATCCCAATAATGAGAATATAAAAAATGTCAGTAGCCATTTAGGTTAGTTCAAAGTAACATATAATAATTAAAATGTTGTTGACCTGTTTTTGGTCACTTTCATTTCTTTTTCATTTGTTTTTTCTCGATTTTTCCTTGTTTTCGTTTTGTTTTTTGTTTTTGTTATTCACCTTTCACCAAATGGCCAAATCTTTGATTACAATTTTGTTTTCTGTTTCTCGCTCATTTCCCTTTTTTCTATTTGTCGTTTGTGCAAAACAAACGAAAACAAAACAGTGTTTGGAATGATCGATGACCTCCAGCAAGCTCAACTAACTCAACTAGACTATTTTGACTAACCTGGGTCAAATAAATTCGGATTCGGTCATTGATCGGCATTCTATAGGTTAGGTTGAATTTGATTTTTGGTTATGGGTCGTCGATGTTTTTTTTCCATGTTTTTTTTATTGAGAATTTCCATTTCTTTTTCTCTAAAAAAATGTTTCTTTTTTCCAGGTTTACGATGATGATGTTAATCTTTTGGATGATGATGATGATGATGATGTTATTGGTGATGATGGTCATCATCCGAATCCCGAATCAGTAATGGAATCGATTGATCAATCAAATCCGGATATCATTGCTCAACCAGACCAACAACAAACATCGACGACAACAAAAATACCAAAATGTTTAAATAATTTACGTTTAGATTCAGCTGTACAACAAATTAATCGATTACAAAATGAATTGAAAAAACTTCAAACCGATGGTGAACATTGGAGAAAATTAGCTAAACAGGTAAAATTTGAAGAAAAAAAACAAAAATGTTTGAAGAGATATCCAGGGTTAATAATGGTTGTTTGGTTAAAATAGCCGAACAAATGATATGAAAATAACCTGTTGAATGTTTTTTTCAGGTAACCAATATCATCATTTTTTCAATCAGCTATTTCTACCCAAATAAGGCTAGAGATAATACATCCATGATACATCCAATAGCAACCAAATTTCCTAGAAACTTTTCTAGAAACAAACGAAAAAACAAAACCAGAAAAAAACTTTTCCGGAAATAGAATTTCAACTCTGATTATGTATCAAATGAGCTGTTTGTTTGTTTGTGTCACATTGTTTCCATTGCAAAACAAAACAAAAATTTGCTCTGGTTGATTAGATTCTTGATTGACAACGTAGGATTTTTGTTTTGTTTTTGGATGTTTCAAAAACAACAAAAAACATTAATAACATTCATTTCACATGTGAAAAACGAGCCAGCAAGAGAGGTGAGAGAGAGAGAGAGAGAGAGAGAGAGAGAGAGAAATTTATCAATGTTTTGCCCAAAAAATTTATGACAGAATGACAGAAATGTCAATGTTGCTTTGGCTGAAGCTTCTTTTGGTTTTTTCCAAAACTGAACCTGTCCTGTCCTGTCCTGGTTTCCTTTTGTTGACCAAAAATGATGCTTATCATTCTATTTTCATCCAATGACTAATTGCAAAAAAATATAGAAAGAAAAAAAAATAGATGTAGAAATAGCCATTGCTACACCTTTATTTTATTTCAATATTTTTTTGGTTTTTTGAAGCCAGAAAAAAAAAATATTTTTGTTGTGGTTGTGATGATGATGGCTGCTATGGATATTATTATTATTTTTATGTATCCTGGTCTGTCTCTGTGTGTGTGATGTATGGATTTCTTTTCGTTTGATGATTGTTGTTGAGATAATCTACCACACAAACACAATCTGTCGCAATAGTTGATGGTGGTTACCTCGGTGAATTTGGGTTTGGTTTTTTTTTAGTGTTTTTTATAATCATCGTTGATTATGTTGATTATTTCTCTCTCTCTCTCTCTCTCTCTCTCTCTCA